CATACCTATTATTTTATATATATTCGAATTTCCCTAATTCGAATTTTTCTCTAACTGTAATTCGGATTTTTGTTAATTTTATTCTACAACGAGCATTTTGAATCAGTTTTACATAATTTTTCATTCAATTCGTTTTTGCTGAAAGAAAAAATGAAATTTTTGATTATCAAAAAAGATCGTAATAATTTATATTTATATTTCTTTTTTTGCACTGATATTTTTTATATATGTATGTATACATACGAACTAGCGTCGTATTCTACAGTATGATACAGAAAAGCAATCGATATCCCAAGAAGTTTATATTTAGCCAAATACGGTTGGAAGACAATTGGATGAAATCCTTAAAAAAATTTCTTTATATACATATACACTGTCCAAAAAATAATTGGCTTCGTTTCTTTTGTTTCTACGTTCAAATGGTTTGTAACTGTTGTTTTTCACTATTACTTCAAGTAAAATGTCAAATCCTATAACGTCATTAAAAATTACAAAAATATACGCAAATGTAATTAGGTACCTAGGCATTATTTGTTAAAACGAATTTTTAATTCTATGTATGTTCTATGATTTCAAACTGTTGGTAATTTTAAGACTCTTTGTCAGAAGTTGTTTGATGTTTTAACAAAAGCATAAACAAAATTCAATATTCGGTTCATCAATCTTGCTACTATTATTTCTTACTCTTTTGACTGTTTAGAACCCCCGTTGTGCGATAAGCAATGGCCTATTTCTTTAGAAATGAATACTGCCCTTAACCTAGTATCAATGAAAATTTTTAAATAACGCAATACTATAAGGAATACGCACCAAGGGCGTCTGTATTCTGTCGAAACTGCCAGACGCGGATCACGATTTCGATCTTTTTGGATCTCATCAGCGCGTCGCAGGCAGCTCCGACAGAAAAGTTTTATTAAAAAGTTGTTCTAAAACATCGGACGCGTATAGTACCTACTTTAGTAGTAGTTCTTAAATGACTTCTAGATATGAATATTTTTAACAAAAAATTAGATAGAATGAATTACAATTTGCAGTCAAAAATTAGCTGAAAAATATAATAATAGTTTATTTTTGTATTTTTAGAGATTTTAAAATTCATAACCGATGTTGAAAATTTTAATCGAGCAAATAAGTGGAGACCGTGTAAAAGAAACAAATCCTCATATATACCTACCGAAAATTGAAAAAAAAAAATATTCCCGAGTGTCTCTAATCGTTTTATTTTTAGATGTAAAAAAAGACTGAACTTTTAGGGTCGATAAATACAACTATATTTAACAACGTTTCAACGTTTAACCCCTTTGGTTGTGGACTTTTTCAATAAAATTGTTCAATCACAGATATAAATTGTTGATGGACATTGTCTTTAAAACAGTTATATAGACATACACAAACTCTGATATTTTAAAGAGTAATTTTGCAAAGCATCAAACAACTACACATGTATATTCATTAAAAACAAGGGCATACGTGTTGAAACCATTCAATTTGTGATCGAATAGATTTAACATGCTATATGTTCTGCTTTTTGAAAATTGATTTTATTAAAAAATAGTTGTTTGAAGTTTTGTAAAATTAGTCTCAAAAATATGTCAAAGTTTACACCTATGATTATCATTATTATTTTAAAAAGAATGTTGATCACTACTTAACAACAATTTCCTTCAAAAAAAAAATGTGAAACGCCAGAATTTTGTTAAAATAAAAAGTGCAGTCTTTGTTACATAAACTATTAGTAGGGAAAAAATGTACAACTGCAAAGATTAAAATATATATGCAAATTAAAATTCTCGGGGAATTTTTTCAACCAACAATGATGGTATGGTATGTTTGGGTTTTTTTGCAATTTCATGTACATAGATAATAAACAATTCTATTACAAACACTGATAGAATATTAACAACCCAATACACCACATACGTACTAACATATTTATACAGCACATGAATGTTTTCCGGTAAATTTCACCACAAACAGTCGTGCGGCTTTTGCTGCTTGCTTGTACATTCTCATCATTATTTAAAATTTAATCTCACTACCAAAGCCCGCTATTTCGTGCTGCTCATGTACAAGTGAAGGTAATTTATTATACATATATTCTAA